TACAAGCATACATATAACGACCACAAGCACAACTATTGTCTACGACGTCGTCAAATTACAATAAGAACTCATCAACGTCAGGCTTGGGCGACGTCAGGAGCGCGGTGTAAAGCCTGAGCTTCTCCTCCCCAAGCGAAGAGCACCTCGAGAGCGGCCTCCGAGGCCGTATAAAAGAAAGCGAAGTAAGCGTCTTCCGACGCCTATACCGTCTCCACGCCAGCTGTATAGCCACCGCAGCCCAAGTCCTCCACCCGGGAGAGTAGTACCGAGCGCTCCGCCTCACCTTCTCGTTCACGAAAGTGTATCGGAAGTGTTGCGTCACGTACTTTACGTCGCTGGCCTCGAGCCCGAATGCCTCGGTTGTCTCAAGGGTGATTAAGGTGGATGAAGATGGAGGCAGGCGCTCGGGCACCAGGAGAGGAGCTCGTCCCCGCTGAAGTTGCCAGGGCCGAGCATGCAGTAACTCTTGACGCCGTCACGGAGGTCTTGGCTGCTTTGTAAGTGTCCTCTTACTACAAATAGCATCCTTTGCACCGGATCACCTTCTCTTGTTATCTGAGTGAAATGTTGCATAAAAGGCTATAATTATGCTGCAGTCGCACAGACACACTCACACACACAAACACACATTCTATTAGAAGTAGAAAATTAGGTTGATTAGCAATGTAGGCTCACTATTTCTCCTTTGGGAAAGATGAGGGACTTGACTCGGTCACATATGTTCTCTAGGACTAGCTCATCCATGTGCTGGAACAGAGGAACCTGCACTAATTAATGAAATGCGAAAATATGAAATTATATAAATTTAAACCATTCAGTACAATAGGCATAAATAGAATTAGATTTACTTGAGGAGTTTTTTTTACCTGTCTAACGAGGTCCAGACAAAGATGGTACTTGATATCCCTCCTTAAGCCCTCTGGTAGATTTCGAACCATCTCACATTCATCCACTCCTCTTGCCCATCGCTGCCGCTCGTACTGACGAACCCTCTGCCTGAATCTCTGAGGCAGATGCTTCTTCTTCATCCACCAGTCCATGCTCCGCATCCTTAGATGTAACGACTGCTTCTTCGATGTTGTCGCGTTCAGAAATACCTGTAATCATCATCTCTCTCTCTCTCAGACGTAGTTAGCTATGAAGTGGATATTGTTAACATTAGTGTTGCTAGTATTTGGTGCAGTAAGAGGCCATGTTTACCTTGATGTTTCCGATGAGCATAGTAACCAATATGAGTCCCCCTGTTATGGTGATGATGTTGAACACAATCTCCAGCCATTCTGTGGTGCTCTCAAGGTTTCCAAAAGTGCTGGACAAACACCCAATTGGTGCATTATAGTTTTAGGAAATGTTGCTAAAATGTTCAGTATCTAATCTATTGTTTCTTGTTTTCTATAGAAGTTGAGTGTACTTCCCTGAAACCCTGACGTCATTCACATCGTTTTTTTTTAAATGTTCAGTATCTAATCTTATTTGAACCTAGGTTGCTCCGGTAATATCATAAATTTCTTCTAATACGAAAGTATGATGGTAATGCAGGCTGATTACCTAAGGGTCATTAAGCCCCAAAAGATGGGCAACAGTATCTTCTCCAACCTGCTGGTGTTGGTAACAAGAGTGACTGTCCACTTATATGCTCCATACTGGAAGTTGTCACTGCTATCCAGGCATGTTCTCCTTGCAAGCACATCTTGAGCCCAACTCACTCTCCCTGCATCTGTTATCTTCGTCGTTGCGCCGTAATAAATCGGCTGCACGCACGCTGTGGTTGTTGCAGCGCATCCTTTTGCTAGCGTGCACTGCTCTTTCAGGCACTTTGCCGCCCTCTGAATACCCAGCAAGTACCAGCAGGCTCCAACCGCCTGATTACCATTCACAAAACGTTGGCGGCCGCAAAATATATACAATATAAGTTATCCAACGTAAGTGATTAGTTCATACAGTACTCCTGGTTTCAACTATTGGTCAATAGTACTGATAGATGATGTCAATCTGGAGTTCTCACATCATGTTAAAAGAAGAAATTTTTGCTTCGTCGGGAAGCTTAAAACTTCATCCTAGCTAGCTCAGTGTTCTAGTGCTGCCGTGTATGACCTTCATTCAAAAGTAAATAAATAAAAACCAGATTGAGAAATTGTGGAAATAAACTTCATATATAATTTGACATCTATACATTTTATGAACAAGTTGTGTCACGCTGACAATTATTAGATTACAACCCATTAAGTTGAGCCTTATATCTGGGTGCGCGCGGTAGAAAGCGCCGCGCAGGTTGGTAGTAACGGTGAATATGGGTAAACTTGTACGTACATGGCAGGTAATTAATTAAGTTTTGAAATTAACTTTCGTGTGGGCATGCAGTGTATAAAGGAGGAGGAGGAGGAGGGGGTACG